CTCTCTCTCTCTCTCTCTCTCTCTCTCTCTCTCTCTCTCTCTCTCTCACACACACACACACACACACACACACACACAGTCTGTATCTAACTTAAATGGCTGCCTAACTTAAGAACTATGGGTGGCTCACACAGCAAGATTTGTCAGCAAGTTATGGCCCTCACAGTATCACTGCAGTCATGTGACCGTGATTTAGATTCTGGCTACTGACTCACACTTACAAAGGTTGCAACATCCATGGATATATGATTACCATTTACAACTTTCTCTACAGGCTTCCTACAAGTAAAGTCAATAGGGAAGATAATAGGGAACATTCCAAGTCATTCTGGTTAGCACCTTTAGCCTTTTTGCATTCACATGCCACCACTCTGCCCATACCCCAGACTTCCTGTGGTCATGCCACACCATTCATTCTCTGGCTTTTCTATATGCCCACTGTGATGTCCTTGCCTGCACTCCCAGCATGCCACTCACCCCACCATCTTAGACTTGCACTCTATTGTCTACACATTCAGCCTTCTTACACTCAGATGCAAACTGTACCCAGCCTCCCAAGTTTTCCCCCAACTTATGCATGTCCTGCACTGGCCCTCCCAAGGTCTTCCCAACCCCCACTCCACTCCATTCCACTCCACTCATACCTCTGGGTTTCTTGCCTGAGAATCTTAATAATTTACACCTCTTGTCCCAATCCCAGCCACTGTTATTACTCTTGGGGTTATAACAGTGGTTGGGACTGACTGGAATGTTGTTGCTGTGGTTACATGATGTCATGCTTTATGATTGAATCACTTAGCAATGACAATCACAATCTCAATTGCCATCAGAAGGACTATTTGTAATGGAAGAAGTCAGAGACTTGTTCCTTGCCTTTTAACACCTGTTGTTCCTGAAGGTTCTATCTGTTCCATTTTCTCAGGTTTTTCAGGTTTCTTATTCAACTAACTGTAGCTGAACTTTTGTGGATCACAGGTTTTTCCACTAAAAAGAATGACTGAGGCTTTCAGGTATCCTTTTCCTTCCTTTGATGTTTTCCCCCCCTTTATTTCCAGAATTCTACTAAGGATACTCACCCAAGTTAATTTATTCTATGTTCAGCACAATTTATTTCAAGATAACTGGCATTTATTCTATCTATCTATCTATCTATCTATCTATCTATCTATCTATCTATCTATCTATCTATCTATCCATCCATCCATCCATCCATCCATCCATCCATCCATCCATCCATCAATCTACCATGTTTCCCCAAAAATGAGATCTGGTTGTATTTTCTTTTGGGTCCCAAAATAAACACCAAGTCTTATTTCCAAGGGATGCCTCACTTGCTTATCTTAGGACCAATGCAGCCAGGCCTCCCACAGCTTGATACCTATCATGCCACTGCCCAACTTCTTCACCACTTTCAGTCGTTCGCGATGAGACACCACATGGGTCATTGTGCTGGTGTCACTGTTCGCAGCAGGAGGCTGTGTGGCACATCACACCAGTGCTGCCGCTCACAGCAGAAGATTGTGTGGTGTGGTGTGCCATTGTATGCGCGAGTGGCAGCACCAGCACAATGTGCCATATGGCCTTCTGATGCAAGCGGCAGCACCAGCAGAAGTCACATAGCATCTGGCTGCAAGCAGCCGAAAAAGTCGGGCAGCAGTGTGACAGGTGTAAGGGCGTGGAAAGCCTGGCAGCAACGGTCCTAAGGTAAGCAGGTGCAGGGCATGTGGGGCAGCTCCACCCCACCCTAGCTTGCTTTTACACATGCACATTGCTCCACCTTGTACAACCAGACGGCGGGATGGAATGGGCAGGGTCTTAACTAAGGCTTATTTGGGAGGACTAATATTATATTATGTGCACATGTAAAAATCAAGCTAGGGCTTATTTTTTTGAATAGGTCTTATTTTCTGGGAAACACGGTATCTGTCTATCTTTCTATCTCTGTCCATCCATCCACTATCCTAGGCAATAATCAGAAAAATTATTCAACAGTTGAACTTACTTTGTTAGAAGGTCGAAACTCCTGAATCTTTAACCCAGAAATTATCTTGAAAATAGTGTCTTGTGCTATATCCTATATTTTATTTTTAAAAAACCAATAATTATTAATTGCATGAAACAGGCACTCTTCAAAGTTATTTCACTTCTCACTCCACTCCAAAACAAGGAAATCAACCAGCAAAACAATTTATAAATACAGTTTAGCATGAAATGTTAGAGATAATTTCCTGAGTGTGTTTATCAAAATATGACTGATAATGTTTCCTAGACAATATTTCTTTCACACATATAATTGATCAGAATTATATTGTAAGATAAATAAAACCTGGAAAACAGAGTATTAGGAAGGATAATTCAGATAAAATGAAATGGGAAAATATTCAATTCAGAAGACTTATTTAAAACACCAGTTATGAGGATTTTTATTTCTTTAAATCCAGCTAGACACTGGATTTACAAGTCCCCACCCCCGTTTCTTGACTTTTCAAATTACTCTGAAAAACTAACAAAAACAGATTACAGGTACTCCTTGAGTTATGACCCTAATAGAGACTGCCCATTAGGGTTGAAAATTGGGACAATATTAAATGAGCTGCCTCAAGTAATGACCAGCTCTCCCTGCTTTCCCTAGTGCATTTCCCGAGGAGATCCTGGGAGGCCTAGTGGGCATCAGCCTGCCTGCTTCTGGCTTGTCTAGGCCTTCCCCATCCTGCAAGCAGCCTGCAGCACAGATAACTGTCTTGTCAGGGAGAAACAATGGGGAAAAAATACTGGTTGCTCCTGTCTTTCCTAATTCTGTCCCTGCCTTTCTCCTAACAAGGTGCCCTGCATTCTGGGGCAAAAAAAGGATAAGTTACCTAGCCTTTCAGAGCTTTCTGCTCCAATTAGCTGGCCAGCAGGAGGTTGCAAAGCTCTCCTGCCTCTTGCCTGGCTTTGGGAAGCCAGTCCTTCTGTAAAAGGCAGCTTCAGAACTAGTTTCCTAAAATCTTTCCCTTGTTTAATACCATCCTTCCCTCAGAACACCACATTCCAATTTTAAAAAAAAGCTGGGAGACTTGACACTCCCCCCAAATTATGTACTAAAACTAAATTCCCCCTTTGCTTTCCAATCTCTATCTTTTTAAAAATACTTTATCTCTAAGCTGAAAAGTACAGGTATAAAATAAGCAAAGAAATAAAACCTTTCTGTAACATTTTCCCTTGAGCATCGTCTCCAAAAGTTATTCAACAAAATGGAGGATTCTGGGTGTTCAAAGCTTCAAGTCTCCAGAGGAAGGCAGTCCAGTCTTTAAGTATTAGCTGGGCTCTAAATCAGATGGACAGCTAAAGTTTCAAAGACCCAGCATACTCCATTTTGAGGCACAAATCTCTAGTCAAGTAATTTTGGAGATGATTTTTTTTCTTCCAGTTCTAGAGAAAAAGCTGAAGAAATATTTTCTCTCCTTTGTTGCTTTGTTCCTCTACTCTTCAGTCTGGAGTCAAGCTAAGGTTTTTAAAAGAGATTGGAGAAGAGAGGGAGAGGTTAGTTTTAAGAACTAATTGGTGTAAGGGGGAGAGCAATAAGTCCACCTTCCCACCTTGGTTTTTTGTTTGCTTTTTGTTTTTGAAGAAATGTGACTTTTTGGGGAAAGAAGGGAGTTAAATAAGGGAAAGCTTTTGGGAAGCTTATCCTGAAGCTGCTTTTTATGCAAGGTCTGGCTTTCTAAAGCCAGGCCAGAGGCAGGAGACATTCAGTCTCCTGCTGACCAGTTGGTAGGGGTCAGCTAAATGGCACAGAAAGCTTTGACAGCAGCTGTCATTTTAGCAAGGAATTATCAAGGCCCCAAAAATGATAGCTGCTTCCAGGAGGTATGGGGAGGCTTGGGGAGACACCCAAAAACTGCAGGAATGACAGGATGGGGGTGGGGGGAAGAGAAGTGGGAAGTGCTACAGCATGCCAGTGGTCTGTCAAAAGGGTGAATCGCCACAGTACCATTGCAGCTGTTGTAACTTTGAAACAGGGTCATATATAGTTTTAGGGTGTCAGTCATAACTTTTAATTGTTGTTAAGTGGCCTGTTATTTCTCAAGGACTACCTGTAGTACAAATACAGCATCAGCTATTTGAAGGTTTACCTTTTCTGTAAAAGAGATACAATAAATTGTTGCAAACAGTTTTGCTGTACTCAGTATGAAACTGTAATGCCTAAAGAAAAAGGAGAGAGAGATTGTAGGAAAGTAAAACAAAAAGTTTCTACAATCAAGTTTATGGCAAACTGCATTTAACTGAATCTCATCAAATCAGATTCTTTTGGAGAAAATAATTGATGCTCTTAAACATAGCAGAGTGTTCTGTGAGAATGTTCAGAATCAACTGAGGCTTTCCTAAAGCTATGACAGCCCTTTGAAGTCTGTAGAAAGTCACAGTGTATATCTAGAAATATAATTTGTGGGACTTATTTTTGAATCAAAGGTATTATTTCATTGTAGTTCTCCAATTGTAATGTTCTGGAAAAAGAATATTGAATTCTTAGAGGCAGTGTTTTTCTAACATTTCTAGACATCAAGTGTAATATGTTTCACCAAAGGAAAACTTTTTTTAATTTTTTGGTTAAAAAAAAAGAGAGCGGGGGGATAGAAAGAGAGAGAGAGAAAGAGAGCATTTATCTTTGGGTTTGTAAATGTTGTTACCCCTCCTTGTTATCCTTCCAACCAACCCTTCAATCTTTTTCTTTGCTTCTCCCTTTCAGTCCATTAATTTATATTTAGAAGCTTGAAATGATTATAAAGCACTATTATGCCAGAGCAAGTATTCAGGATGCTACACCACCTCCGTTAAATAAAGCAAAAATAAGAATTATTAGCCCAAAGCTAATTGTTACTGGCTGTAAAAATCCAAATAAAGAACTCGGAATTCCCATATCTTGATAGGATTTGGAAACAAAAGGTGCACCTTTTCCAATGGACATATGACAAAATACGGAGCAAGTTCTTGAAGCAATGAGACATTTGGGGAGTTGGAAGTATCAGGAAACAGTATCTTGGATCTAGAATTCAAATTCTCATTTTGATATAAATGCAAACCAAATTTAGGCATGAATTTTCATTGAAATATTTCTAAAATTAGCACTTTCATGTGGTTGGCACATGTAAAAATATATGTTTTAAAAGTTACTGAATGACGCATTCAGAGATAACACCAAACAAGTATAGTAAAAAAAAAAAAAGCAATTCAGTCACACATGTATACATCAAAAGGTTTTATTACAGGACTTAGAGCTTATTCTTAGTCATAAAAGATCTTCTGATACCATATTTGTATAGAAATACCAATATATAAACTAGTTCTATAAGTCCATAGATATCAGTAAGTATTTTGTCAATTACAATAACAATATATAAAAAAAAGAAATTTACTTACAAAGGGTCATTAAAATCAAACTGAATTGGAAAAGGTGGCCTTTTGGGTGATTGCCAAAACAAACCTGTCAATTCAAAGAAAAACAAATTAATTGCTAAAAACAGCAAAATTAAATTTGGTATAATATAAAATTACTGCACTTACTGCCATCTTTTAATCGTGTATCAATAGGAAATGAATGCAGTAACTGAAGAGCCTAAGTAAAAAAATAGAGAGCATAGTTCAATGAGCACATATACATTCGTTAATGAAAACATGGTGCATGTAAACTATTCTAAAGTCTATCAGATAAGAAAGTGCAATTAGATACACAACACAGGACTTCTATTTTCAAATTCTTCCCTTGGAAAATTTATTATGAACTAATATTCAAATAGTAATTACTATAAAGTAGGTGTGTCCAACTTTTGGCTTGTTTAGGCCACACTGTGTCTTTGAAGAGCAATTTGTCTTGGATCACATATAAAATATTCTTATTATCATGAATCAGGGGTTTCAAAGTAGGGTACCACGGGTTCGGTGGGCATGGCTTGGTGGCCGTGCTTTGCGTGTGCATGCCAAATATGCACTTTGCGCATGTGCAGAGGCTTTCCAACTCACCTCCTGCAATCCTGCACTCTCCCTATAGCTTTAGCAGCTGATGCGCGGCAATCTGCTGTGCTGCGCAAAGCAGCTGCCCTTCAAAAGCAGGGAATAAAGGTCAGTATGGGAGCCCAGGTGGGCAGGTGAGCTCAACAACAGCTCCTTAGATAGAACCAATTCAGTCTCTGCTGATCTTCGGCAATACCGGTACACCAGAACCAGGCCAAACCGGTACAATAGCACCACTGTCATGAATATGAATAACAAACTTCCTTTAAGTTTTGAAGTCTTGTGGAGCTGCGTTACTAGGGATTCCAGGATATCAGGAGCCATCTTGCCCCAATGGGATTGAAACATCCATTTAGTCTAGCAGATGGGACTTGCCATGAATCTCATTTGTCAAGGAATTTTGGTTGGTTCCCACTATGGCCTCCACCCTTTGGAACAATTTAATATTGGAAATGAAATCTGCCCCCAACCTTTTGGCCTTCCTGGAGGGCCTTAAAACCTGGCTCTTCTGGTTGGTTTGGGGTCAGCACCTTCACTTTGTCACAAGAGGTGGCTGATGAGATAAGAGAAAAGACTTCTCCCTTATGCCATCTATACTCCTGGTTTTTAGTCCCCATTTAAGTTTCATTTATTTTCACTGTATATTTTATCTCTTTTTAATCTGTCTAGAATTGTTGCAACAGTAAGACAAGTGGCATTTAAATTTAATAAATAAATAAGAGAATACAAATGTAGAAATACATATAAATACATAAAATAAAAAGGGGTTATTTATTTATTTTTCATATTTTTGAAATGCCCCATCTTCCTCAAAGAGGGACTCTGGGATATGTAAAATTAAAATATAAGAACAGTAGGTGAAAATTAAATTTTTAGAATTCAAATTTTTGGAGGGGGCGACAATGACTCTTCAATTTCCAATAATTTCTATTTATTGCTTAGCATAGAAGTTACAGATAGTCTGTTATTAATTTGATCACTTTTTAATCCAAACTTCAATTTACTAACCTGAACCAATTTTATACTTTAACAAGGCTATGAGTAAAGGACCACGACTATTGAAAAATAGTAATTGAATCAAATGAATACATAATCAGGCTAGATGTAGACTATAAATATTGCTTGAGTTGATAGTCTAAAACAAAAATTTGGACTAAAGAATTTGTTTTTGGCTTCTTCCTGTATTAAATTAGATTTGATCAAATTTCATTTATTTCAAAAGTTGGCACTAACTTTAACTGGTTTTACAACACATTAGTAAAATCAACACAGATTATTTTATAACCCCTGTTAAAGTTCACAAAGAGGGAAGTGTACAGTTGAACTGTTAACTAACAATTATTTCAGTTTTAAAAAAAAGCCTTTTTTTAATTGGTAGTTGTGCATCCAGAATCCCATTCATGGATCATGGCCTCAAAATCCTACAAACTAGGCTTCAGCAATATGTAAACTGAGAACTATTAGAAGTACAAGCTGGATTTAAAAGAGGAACTAAAGATCAAATTGTCAACATTTGCTGGGCTATGCCAAAAGAAGGGAGTTTAAAAAAAAATCTACCTTTACTTCTTTGACTAAGCTAAAGTCTTTGATTGTTTAGATCAGTGGTCCCCAACCTTTTTTGTACCAGGGACCGGTTTCAAGCAGAA